ACTTGGCCATGTAAGAGTCACCCAGGTAGTGCTGCCTTTGAAGGTGTAAAGGGGTCAAGCTGAAGCTTGTCATTGTGTGGCAGAGTTGGAGTCCCTGAAGAGAGCACAGGAGAGGCTATTGATGAAAGTGCAGCCCAGTTGAAGTAGAAGACACACATTTTGGAGATGTCGGTACAATAGCATGACTATCAATAGCAGCAGCTGTGGGGTGGAGCCTACCTGAGTTTAGAAAACAAGCTAAAGTGTGCTGCAGAGGGTGGAGATGGAGAAGTGACCCAAGCCCCTGGAGGATCCCAGAAGATTTCGAGTGAATCACAGATATTGGTCACTGAGTTATTTATTTACACTGTTGGAGTTTGGCTTTGTTTTGTTCAGATTGTGACTGTGCCCTGGTTTTTCCATCTTGAAGAAAGAAAATATTTAATTTATTTTTGATTTTATAGGAGTCCACAGTTGAGAGACTTTGGATTTTAAAAGAGACTTTGGATTTATTTTTAAGAAAGTGAATTTTTAAAGTGTTTGAATTTGTAAGACTGTGAGACTTTTTTATGTTTGTAAAATGTTTTATATTCTGATGTTTATATGAATGTGTGGTCTTGGGGATGAAGAAGTAAGAAAAGGTTGTTGTGGGTTTACAGTGATTTGCTTATGTGCCAAGTTGATAAGGGGTCAGTTATGCAGGATAGTCTTATGTCAACTTGACACATGCTAAAGTCATCTGAGAGGAGCGAACCTCAATTAAGAAAATGCCTTCATAAGATCAGGCTACATAGGCAGGGCTGTAGAGCATTTTCTTAGTGATTGATAGGGGAGGGCCCAGCCCATGGTGAGTGATGCTATCCCTAGGCTGGTGGTCCTGGATTCTATAAGAAAGTAGGCTGAGCAAGCCATGTGGAGCAAGCCAGGAAGCCGCACTCTTCCATGGTCTCTGCATCAGCTCCTGCCTCCAGTTCCCTGCCCTGCTTGAGTTCCTGCCTTCACAGCTTTTGATAATGAACTATATATGAAACTGTGAGTGAAACAAACCCTTTCTTTCCCAAATTGCTTTGGTCATGGTTTTTCTTTCTTTTTATTAATTTTTTTTCATTTATTTCACATACCAACCACAGTTTCCCCTCCCTCCTCTCTTCTCATCCCCCAGCCAAATTTAATCCTCCATTCAGAAAGGGGCAGGCCTCCCCTGAGAGTCAACAAAGTTTATCATATCACCTTGAGGCAGGACCAAGATCCTCTCCCTGCATCAAGGCTGGGCAAAGTATCCCTCATGTGCCAGGGACAGGTCCTGATCTCACTGCTAGGGGCCCTACAAACAGACCAAGCTACACAACTGTTATTCACATGCAGAGGGCCTAGGTCAGTCCCATGCAGGCTCCCTAGCTGTTGTTCTAGAGTCCATGAGCTCCCATGAGCTCAGGTCAGCTGTCTCTGTGGGTTTCCCTGTCAGGTCATGGTTTTTCATCACAGCAATAGTAACCCTAACTAAGACACTCTAAGAATTTTCTTTCGTGTGATAGATGACTAGTAAATTTTATCAGATGCTTTTTCTGCATTTATTTAGATGATTAAATGATTTTCCTTTATTGTTGTGAATTACATTGACTAATTTTTGATCATTGAATCAACCTTATATTGGTAAAATAAATCCAGTTCATTCTTGTTTTGTTATCTTTCTTGTTAGTTTCTGGATTTGGTTAGTAGTGTTTTATATTTCCCTTTTCTCTATGTTGTAAGAGAGATTGACCTACAAGGTTTTGGTTTTGTTATTGATGTTGGTATGCAGGCTAGTTTCCTCATTATATGAACTGAAAAATGGTTCTCCTTTTTTGGTCTGTGGGTGAGTTTGCATAAGACCAGTAATTCATTTCCTTCTTAATCCTTTGGAAGACACATCAGCAAAAGATCTGGGCATTGAGTTTTATTTGTGTCAGAGTTAAATGACAGTTTAAATTTCTTTAATAAATGTGTGATGATTTAGCTTTTCTGCTTCAGGCTGTGTTAGTTTTGGTAAATTATGCCTTCTAGAAATTTTCTTATTTTATTTCTGTTTTTTAATGTATTGCTATAAAATTTCCCACAGTGCCCTTTTCCTCCTGATAACTTCTGTATTCTCTTTTGTTGCCCATTTTGCCAAGAATTTATCCATTGCATTAGTTTCTTTGCTCAGAGGGAAAAAGCTTGTTTTTAAAAATCGTGTTTTTAATATTTCATGTAAAACAAGTTACAGCTGATATGCACACTGTGGTAGTTTAAACGTAATTTGCCCCCATAAGCTCATAGAAAGTGGCACTATTAGGAGGTGTGATTTTGTTGGAGTAGGTGTGGCCTTGTTGGAGGAAATATGTCACTGTGGAGGTGGGTTTTGAGGTCTCCTATGCTCAAGCTATATCCAGTGTCATGGTTCACTTCCTGTGGCCTGCAGATCAAGATGTAGAACTCTCAGCTCCTTCTCCAGCACTGTATCTGCCTGCACACAGACATGTCCCACTGTGATAATAATGGACTGAACCTCTGAACTGTAAGCCACCCAGGTAAATGTTTTCTTTTATAAAGTTGCCTTGGTCATGATGTCTCTTCACAGCAGTAAAAACCCTAACTAAGACACACCTCAAATTAAATTACTTTGGAACATTAGGGGAAGAAATCAGAAGAGAGGCTGTTCTGTCCAGCTGGTTCTGTTTCCTGTCACTATTGGGGTCACTGCATTTTCTTCCCCCACAGTGCTGGTCTGGACCCAAGACTCCAGGCTTGAGGCCTGTAGAAGCATTTCTGATGTCAGGCCCACTAAATCTTCAGAGAACTGTATACATGGCTCTCTTCACTAGCAAACCTACCCCACACCCATCACAGAGCCTCTGGGTCCCCTTCCCTACAGCAAAGATAGGCTGAAGCCCTGGAGATCCTGTCCATCTAACTCACTGTGATGGCTAGTATTGGTTGTCGACTTGCCTGGATCTGGAATTAACTAAAAGGCAAGCCTCTGAACACATCTGTGAGAGAATTTCTTGATTAGGTTAATTTAAATGGAAGACTCATTCTGAATGTGAGTGGCACCTTCCTATGGTGGCCCAGATACAAGGAGATCCAAGGTTTGCTTTGTTGTTGTGTCTCCCTGGAGAGTTCATCTGTCCTATTGTTGAGGATGCCTCTGTCTTTTGTTTTCTTCAGAATCTGGCTTCTTTAAGCTTCCAACATGTGCTGAAAACCAGTGACTCCCCAGGAATTTTCCAGGTTTTCAGTACCAGATTGGGACTGTCTACCAGTTCACAGCCTTTCCAGTGTGAAAATGGTCATTGTTAGACTATCCATACACAATCATGTAGGCCAATGTAATATATATGCATATTCATTACAAAATATTACATATATGTACATATATATAACACATATAGAATATATATAATGTGTGTGTGTTCTGTTCCTCTAGAGAACACTAATCTATCCATTTACCCTTATGCCTACCACAGCAGATATGACAGCAACACAGGAAATTAAATTTATTCTAGAGCCGGGCGGTGGTGGCGCACACCTTTAATCCCAGCACTCAGGAGGCAGAACCAGGGGGATCTCTGTGAGTTTGAGGCCAGCCAGGTCTACAGAGCGAGATTCAGGACAGGCACCAAAGCTACACAGAGAAACCCTGTCTCAACAAACAAACAAACAAACAAACAAACAAACAAACAAAAAATTTATTCTAAACATCCCACACATCAAACCTAAGTCCAACAGGGGTACCCACACTGGACTGACTGGGCCACTAGCCTCACCCTGGGAATGTATGGACCTGGCTGACTGGGCCTGTTAACTTCACCCTGGGAATGTATGGACCTGGCTGACTGGGCCTGCTAACCTCACCCCTAGGAAAGAATGATGCTTCAGTGGAATGGACAGCAGCAGGCTCCTCTACTCAGATGTCCTATACCCGCATCTCCTCCATCTCTCTGGGGTCAACAAACTGCACCCTGGCCTCTTTCCTGTCCTTTCCTGTAATGTACAGTCCTACTCGTCAGTGACATCGGTTCCTTCCTCCAAAAGGTCAGCTTTGATATATCCCTTTTCCTCTTCCCTGAGCTGGGTGCATCTCCATTCCTTCTGAAATTAACTGTGGAGTGAGTGAGCATGTGCCAGGCACAGAGGAGGAGGCAAAGGCACCGTGGAGAGTGTTACTCAGCTGCCTTGTGCTCGAGCTGGGACCTCTACACCCTTGCAACGAAGGCCCCAACTGTGACTCTTGCCAGATATGACCTCTACTCTGGCCTCCCTTCTCTTCTCCAAGGGAGCCTGGGCACCTTTTCATATGACTTTGCAGGGACTGTTACCTCCCCAGAGACTCCTCCTCTTCTGAATCTTGTCTACTAGATTTGCCCCAGCTCCTCGCTCTTTCTGTCCTTACAGGCTGCCCACCGCACCCAGCTGGCAGTCTTACCTGTGGAGAAACTGTATCTACAAAGTCACCAAAGTCAGCACCGCCAGTTCGGACTGCAGACACCCACCATCTGCACAGGCCTGTCCCCTTCAAACAGCCTTGACTTTGAAGGCCCTCACAGCGGGCACTAGAGACTTTGATGCTTCAACCCCTTCAAAACAACTTTTCTGTGTATCTTACAGCGTGTTTGCTTCCTATTTCCTGAATTTCTGTTCTCATCTTTATCATGTCCCCCTCTCAGTTTATTTTAATTTAATTTCTCTTAGGCTTCATTTCTGTTGAAGTGGATAAAATTCCCCAACAGAGCAACTTAGTGTTTAAAGGCTTATGTTGCTTACAGTTCTAGAGGGAAAGAGTCCAGCATGGTGGGGAAGGCATGGTGGCGGAAGCGAGGTGGGCCATCTCATTGCATTAGCAATCTGGAAGCCAAAAGTGAACAGGAAGTAGGGGCAGGCTATAAACCTTCAAAGTGATGTGCTTCTTCTAGTAAGGGTCCATCTCTTGAAGGTTTCACACTTTTCCCAGACAGCTGAACCAAGGTTCCAAACACATGAGCCTGTGAGGAGGTGGCATTTCACATTTATTTTAATGCTTCATTAATTTGTGTATCATCCTTTGTGCAGGGGCCCTGCTAATCTTCTCTGTACTGTTACAATTTTAGTGTATGTGCTGCTGAATTGAGCACATTTTTAAAAGATTTATTTATTTTATGAATATTTTGTATAATATAAATATACAATGTTTATGTTATAATGTATGAATATTTTGCCTGTATGCGTATGTATGTGCACCACACGCATACCTGGTGCCACAGATCCCCTGGAACTGGAATTAAAGGTAGTTGTGAGCTACCATGTGGATGCTAGGACTTGAACCTGGGTCCTCTAGAGGACCAGCCAGTGCTCCTAACCACTGAGCCATTTCTCCAACCCCCATTTCACATTCATTAACAACACATTTCATGTGGAGGGCTCTGCAAACACCAGGGCCAGCAGAGTAATGATCCATGAGAGGCCAGAAGGAAATCATGACTTACTTAGCCAGTGTTGGTTCAAACTTCTGGAGTCTCATCCTGGGCAGTTTATTTTACACATATTTAAGAATAGCATATTTTTTTGGGGGAAAAAGTTTCCTCATGATAGATAATTAATTCAATCCCATTAACAACAAAGCTTAAGACATACTTACATTGAAACTCTTTACAGAGTACATATGACTTCTTCTGTAGAGATGGGCTCTGTTGACTCAGAAACAATGCTCAAGGTAAGGGTCGAGAGAATGACTGAGGTAAACATAATAATTGTCTGTGGAAGTTAGGGTTGGCCTGGCCCTCCAGATAGCAAAGAAGTGACCCAGGCTTGTTATAAAGTACAAGTGACAGCTCCCATAAGGATGGGTTTTATTGACTGAGAAACAATGTTCAAGATAAAGGTCTAGGGAGGAAGAGTCTGGGATGAACAAACACGGTACTCTGGGGGATCCAAGTGTGGTCTGGCCCTACAGATAGCACAGATTACCAGGCTATTAACTATATTCATTCCCAGCTTTCCGGGTGTAAAACAGTTATATGTCTCCTTTCTTTGAAGATACAACCCTGCATGTTTAATATTTCTGGTTTCCTTAGTGCTTATCTGGGAGCAGAGACCTCGTGCCCTCTACAATTTCAATTCTTTATCTCCAATTTTCTAGATGGACATTTAGGTCACATTTTTCAGGCTTATTTCTCCCATTTCTAATGTGTACATTTAAGCCTTTATTTGCTTACTTAAGTTTATGTATATGTGTGTGTGTGTGCCCCTGAGTGTTATGTATATAGTGTGTAAGAGCCTGCAGAAATCAGAAGAGGTATCAGATTTTCTGGAATTGGAATTACAGATGTTTGTGACCTGGCATGTGGATGCTTGGAATTGAACCCTGGCCCTCTGCAAGAGCATTAAGTGTTCTTAACCACTGAGCCGTCTCTCTGGCCCCACACAGTCAAATCTTTAAACACCTCTCTCTCGTGGCTTTGGCTGTATCCCACACATTTGATGCCATCCTTTCAGTGTTAGCCACACACAAAAAAAATCCTAAAATATGTTATCTCTTTCTCAACTGTGGACTATTCAAAAGTATATGAGGCATCTATGATTTTCTTTCCTAAACCCCCCTTAGCTAGAGATTGCATTCTGTATTGATTTCAACCCTCCGATTTAGAGCGAACGAATGACTCACTTTCTGGTCTAGTTAGTTTCTGTGACTGTTTCAACTGCAGTTAAAGATAACATGGGTTGTTAGTTTGGGGTTCAATGTTCAATGTGTGTCACTGTGCCAACCATCTAAAAACCATGATGCACAAGACGTTTATATAGTTACTGTTTTTTTTTCCTTTTGCCCCCAAGAAAAACTCCTCTGATTGTTTTGTTGTTTTATAGTGTCTAATTATGGAAGATGTTAAATTCACTATTACAATGGATTTATATAATCACTTTTAATTTTCTCAATTTCCGACTTATAATTTTTCAACTGTGTTTGAAGTGCACTCAAACTTAGAATTGTTATATCTTCTTGATGGATGAGTTCTTTTATTGTTATTAAATTTTCCTCTTTGTTCTGAGTAGTGCTTTCTCAATTAGACCATGCTTATCAGGTAACTGCATAGAAACATGTAGTTTCATTAGATTAGTATTTTTATTTATTTATATATTTTAAAGAACTTCAACATATATTAATTGTACAAATAATACGCTTCATTTTATTTTCAAATATGTATGTAGTATACCTGACCATACTGACCCCCAAGCCATTGCTCTCATGTATTACACCTGTTCTCTCAGTGCTGATCCCAGTGTGCCTGTTCTGCTTTCATGAATTTTCTTTTAAATACAGATTCTGCATATGAGAAAAAACAAAGTCTTTTTGAGTCTGACTTATTTTACCTAATATGATCTCAAATTCTATCAATTTTCCTGCAAAAGCCATCTCATTCTTTTTCTGAATTACAACATAGTACATATCTACCACATTTTCTTATTCATTCATTTGCTAATGGCCATACAGGCTGATTCCATAGCATGGCTATTGTGAATAGTGCCACAATAAACTCAGTGTGCTGGTATCTTGATGAAATGCTCACTTTGATTCTTTCATGTACACACTCAAAGGTGTTACAACTCTTATGGTAGTTCTCTTTTTAGTTTTTGAGGAACCTCAATACCTGGTTTTTATGATTTTTACAGTAGCTGTACTAACTACTATTTCTACATCTTTGCCAGCACATATCGGCTTTGTTTTCTTGATGATATGTCGTTATGGCTAGCGTGAGAAGAAATCTCAAGTTGTTGTGATCTTCATTCACCTGATAGCTAAAGATGTTGAGTATGTTTTTATTTGCCATTTGCTAGTCTTTTGAGAAATACTAGGTTCATTTGCCCATTTATGGAGTGGATTAGCTTTTGATGCTGATTTTTCAGGGGGTCTTTTTTATATTCTGGAGCATACTCCTCTGTTGGTTAACTAGTTGGAAGAGATTTCACCCACTCTATAGGCAGTATTTTCACTCTTGTAACTGTCTCCTTTACCATCCAGCAGCTATTTAATTGGATGGAGTCCCATTTGTTAATTCTTGTTGCTATTTCTTGAGCTACTACATTTCCTCAGGAACTCATTGCCTACCTATTCCTATTCTTGAAGTGTTTTCTTCTAGTGGTTTCAAAGTTTTAGGCTTTACACTAAGGTCTCTGGTCTACTTTTAACTTTATTTTTGTTTAGGGTGAGGAATACGGATTGAATTTCATTCTTTGATATGTGGTACCTGGCTTTTCTGTGAACATTTGTTTAAGAGGCTTGTCTTTATTCCGACGTATGTTTTGTCACATTTGAATAGCAAATGTCTGTGGTTGAGTGGGTTATTTCTGAGCCCTCTACTCTTTCATTGGTTGATGTGTCTTCTTGTGTCAGTACCGCACGGGCTCATCTGTTTGATTTTAAATTATTCCTGCTGTGGCTCTGTAGTGTTAGTTGAAATCGGATGTTTTGATACCTTCAGCTTTACTGGTTTTGTTCAGGATTACTTTAGCTATTCAGCATCTTTTGTGTTTCCACAACACATCTTAGGACTGTTTTTTGTGACTTTGAAGAATGCTATAGGTTTTCATTGAGCATATAGATCACTTTAGGCAACATAGTCATTTTCACAAGATTGATTCTACTGGTCTATGAACATGGGAAGTTTTTCCATCTTTTAGTGTACTCTCCCAGACCTTTAATGTTTTAAAATTTTCATTGTAGTGTTTCTACATCCTTAGGGCTTTGTTAGTTTGTTTGTTTGTTTGTTTTAAGGCTTTGTAGGTGAGACTGTTTTCACACTTTATTGTATGTTCATTTTGGGTATATAGAAAAGCACTAATTTAAAATGTATAATAATTTGCCACTCAGTGCCTTGCCAAGGGCTATGTCTGGGTCCATGGCCCTACCACAGCTGGAGTCTGTGTTGACGTCCATGGCCCATGTTACCACCAAGGGCCACACAGATGCCTCGGGTCTGGGCCACCACCTGAGGCCATGTTGATGTCCAGAGGACCAAGTTGCCACTGGGGCTATACTGATCTGAGTGGCCTGTGCTGCCACCTGGGGCCATGGTGTTGTCCAGGCCCAGGCTACTGCTGAGGGCCATGTCTGGGTCCATGGTCCTACTACAGCTGGGGTCTGTGTTGATGGCATGTGTTACCACAGGGGCCATGCCGATTCTGTGGTCTGTACTGCCACCTGAAGCCATGTTGATATCTGGGGGCTATGCTAAGTTGGCCTTACCCCTTGGTGGCCCTGGAAGAGCTGGTCCCACCCTTTACAGTAGGGCTGGTCTCGATTGTGTGGGTACAGGAGAGCTGGCCCTAGTGGCCTGGGCATGGGAGAGCTGGTCCTGCCCCTCACTGGCCCTGGGAGACCTGGCCCTAACCCTCACTGGCTGCAGCAGTGGAAGAGCTGGCCTTACTCCTCACCATGAACACGAGAGAGCTGACTCCTATGGCATGGTCATGGGAGAGCTGGTTCCATCCCTGGCCTGCTGCCAAGGGGGCCTCAGGTGTAGGAGAGATGGCTTTGCTCCTCACCTGAGGGGGAGGGGGTCAGTCCAGGTGGAGGCCCAGACAGACCAACTCAACTACCACCCAGGCAGACATCCAGGTCTTTGAGTTGGCCCACCCCAAAATCTACCCCATCTATGACCTGCTGGAGTATGTGAAGGGACTGGTTCTGTGGAACCATAGCTACAGCATCTCAATGACTTGGGACAACAGCATGCTATCTGAGAGGAATTTTGGTGAGGATCCAATATTGATGGTATACCAGAAACCAGGGGCCTTGAACCAGACTAATAATTCATTGCAATGAACATTTGCAAGTAAAGCTATTTGGACAAAAGGCTGTCTGCATGATGCATTGCAGCTCCCAATACCACTACAATGAATGAATGAATATGTGATGGAGAGGTGAGAAAGATAGAGGAGTGTGATAATTTGAATGTAATTGGCCCCCATAAGCTCATGGGAAGGACACTATTAGGAGGTGTTGCTTTGTTGGAGTAGGTGTGGCCTTGCTGAAAGAAGTGTGTCTGTGGGGGTGGGCTTTGAGGTCTCCTTTGATCTGGCTCAATATGACACTCCGTTCATTTCCCTTTGCCTGCAGGTCAAGATGTAGAACTCTCAG